TTAAAGAATGTGATCAAGTTTAGGCCATTTAAGGTCAAATGTAGAACGGTGTTGTCACCTATATTAGTGTATAGGTGAATGTTGTTTTGCGTCGTTATGAGAAGTTACGCCTTCAGATATGTAAGGGGCGGTCGGGTAGCCTGGTGGTTAAAGCGTTCGCTCGTCACGCCAAAGACCCGGGTTCGATTCCCGACATGGGTACAATATGTAAGTCCATTTCTGGTGTCCCCCGCCGTGATATTGCTGGAATATTGCTAAAAGCGGCGTAAAAGTATACTCACTCACTCATTCAGATAATGTAAATGTTACTTATTAGATAGATAGATAGATAGATAGATAGATAGATAGATAGATAGATAGATAGATAGATAGATAGATTAGGCCATTCATGCCCTTAATACCATGCCTGTATCTTGTCATCTTTTTCATATTTAAAAGTGCCATGTGTATTGTCAGTTGATTATTGGCAATTCCTTCTTTTGACTGAACTGGAGACATTCAGAGTGATCATAAATTTATCCATTATGAATGTATAAAGAAACCCTACTTTTCATAAATTTATTTGCAAACAGAACCTTCCTTCCTAAAGCTAGCGCTAAAACGCAACCGACATTCTTTATCGTAACAGCACAAATTGAGAGCTAATGGCATTTTTGTGTTCACGAGCATGTATACTATATTCCCGGTTAATGATTTTTTCTATAGAATCAACCTGGGACAGAGAACACTGTGTCATCTCGAAAACCTGGCATGCCTAGCTTCTGGTGGAGTGGTATTCATCAACAGTGGCTATGTTTAGCTTTCCAATTGCCCGTTACCTTAAATAATGCAATGGCCTCCGGAGAGTTTGGTGTTCGTTTCAGAGAACAACTGCTGGATTCTTAATGATATTTCAAAGAATCAGAATTCACCTTGGTACCGAGAAGAGTGAGAAAAAACACAATGATCAAACATGGATTTTTTATAACTCTGTAGGAATTGATTGCAACCTTGATAAAGATGCTTGAAAGAAAACATGCGTTAATTTATATTTTCCTTTTAAGGTCGGTGCGAGTTGACATATCGGTAGAAACATCATGTGCAAATGCCGAAGGTGTTGTACCAATATTAGATATGAACCATGCTGCAATTGTGACCACAGCATAGATCAATAGCATTCCTTCCTGCCCGAGGCTTATCGCAAAATGATGTTCCAACTCTTTGTCTGCTCAAAGACAGTGCATGAACAAATGACATGGGCGGACTGTTATTTTACTAGGTACGAATAATTAATGGACATTGGGGAAGCTTCTGTGAAGCCCAACTCAATAAGACAGATATTGCAAGGGACATTCTATGGAAGTTGATAAAAAAAACCTGGATAATTATTGCGCGATTCGTGTACCTTCGTGATGTTCCGGTATCATGATGCCACCTTTGCAATTCTCTGGAGCACGCTATAGATCTTGGAATGTGGTCACAGCCCCAGGGACCACAACAGAAGAATTGATTTTTTTTAACAGTTCACATACTTTTATGGACAATTAATTGATTGCCTTTGGTGCTCAAGCTCGATCTTCCGCTCGTCCAATATACTTTCAATTGTTTGTGGTGTGTTGTTTCCAATGACAAACTGTTCCTTCGTCAAAGACATCTAACGTTTCATCGATAGTGATCAGGTATTGGACATCATATCACCTCATTTCATCATGATCATCTTCACATGACTAATTCTACACTAATGCATCAGTGTACATTACAACCAGCTGTGATGACGGGGAATACATGCTGTTTCTATGTTCTGATTCATGCGATATATTTGGTTTTTTTATAATCAATAAGAATACATGAATTCTTACATGAGTTTCGTAAAATCAATATGACACACATGCGAGTGTAATAATTTCTTAATCCTTTTGAGCTCCCTTTTTAAAAAATGCACTGATCATAACCGCAATCTTCGAAAACCACATTGTCGAATGACGTAAACAAGTTTCAGCTATGACGTCGTTTCTATTGTGACGTCATTATGTCCTCATGTCTCAATAAGATTCGAAAAACGTCGACAATGCCGTCCGGGTGATTGAAACAATATACTGGTGCGCGTGAAGTGATATTTGCACAAGTGCACATAACATTTTATGAACTCGGTTATTCCTATCCTGTGCGCAATTCATGCCTAAATGAGGGAAGGGGGTTGTATCCTCTTGCAGCAATATCACAGCAATACAAAGGACATCAATAACGTCTTCGCACATTCAGTGAATCGAACCTTGGCCTTTGGTGTGATGCGACTCAACTGGCTTTCCAACAAAATGTGGTTGAATTTATTCAATATCGCTGTTTGTCCGTAAAATCAAACCATGTATTATAATATCAACAAGCAGTTAACGATCAACCTAATTACATACAGACAATGTCATAGTTGGATACAAAATCAGCACCAGATCGCGGAGAATAGGACATACCCCCTTTCACACAATGCTACCCAACACCCCAAGGACGAGATGCTATGACCGACGTTGTGAAGAATTCAAACACATCCAGTGTTATGTACATATACCATTAATGCAGCGAGTGTTCCCTAAGAATAACCAGGAAACTTACATCAACGACTAGCACATCATTCAGAATCTGTGTCGCCTTAGAAACTTTCAAGTTTTAAGATACAATTCAGGACTAAAGTTACATTCTCAGTAAACATTCTCCAGATAAATATCAAACAATGGGCTCAGTTCACTTTATGAACAATGATTTTAGATCATGTAACAATTAGGTCCTTCTCTTGTTGAACTTCACAAACCAAACGTCTATATCTTTGTCCCCTGACATTAACGTTGTTTGAAACATGTTTCTTCATGTTCAGAACCACATTCAGTGTTGCTATTGTTCCCCCATTCAGTTCGTTTCATTGGATATAAAGTAGGCCTATTGTGCCCGGGATATGAAACACCTTTGACTGTGTAAACACATAGGTGTTAATTGTGTCTAGGGCACAACTGTGGAAAGTGCAATCAATTGTTTGCAGGAATCAGCAGGGAGACGTGCAAGTGTCGACAGTGACATGAGATTGGAGTTTGTCGTTGAAAGCTTGAGTCGAACCGTAGAGGTCATAGCTCTTGGTTCTATTGACATTCTCGATTGGTATGTTTATTCTCAGAGCGACTTCCTTGGTGAACTGTAAATACGGAGCAGGGCCTTCTGGTGTACCCATCAACAGTTAGCGACCGACCAATGAATGAATGAATTGTCGGAAATGGAAAGATGCAAGCCCCGAGAAAATATATAACTGTCTTTCGTTGTAAAGTACTTTAATAAATAAAAAGAATATTCAAAAAGTTGCATTGACAAACAATGATAAGGTACAATTTAGGTTCTGATAACATCTGGTGTGACGTTATCACCTCCCTGGTAAAAATACAACTCCAGCCATCGGAGTTTCCTTGTAGCTAGTTAACATCTGGAGTGATCTAATTTCAAAAGAGCAGTGCCATACGGGAAAGAAATAAGAATGAATACTTCATTATGAACCAACCCTTCTATTGTTACATAGTGTTGCATTTCGCAGGAAGAATGCGTTAGCTTAGTACTTATCGTATTGACATATGCGAGGACCATGAACGCAGGCAGAAAATGAAAATTGACACAACCAGCACACTTTCCGCATCGAAAGTCTCATCGTTATCAAGAGATGGCGCCACTATCATTCGCACATAAAAAAGGCGTTGGCAATTCAACCTCATCGTGCAGGTTCGAGGTTTGTATGACATAACACTTTTCTCCAATATCAGAGATACATCAACACATTAAACGCATACTGGCTTTTACCCCGAACATACATGTAGTTGATAAAGGATGTCCTAATTAATTCTTCCAAGATGAAGCTAATATGAAATCAATCTTATCATCTCAGCCAAGTAATTAACTAGGTTCTGTATTGCACCGGCAAGACGGTTCATGTGCTGCCAGCGTTTTAGTTTTTTTTTTCGCTGAATCTCAGCATCTTTGTACACAATCATACATACGACAAACCGGATGATAAATTACTATGTATGAATTACCTGTGATGTGTCCTGCAAATGCCAAACATTATGCTAATTTCCATAAAGGTTTACTTTGGCGTATAGTTAACACAACTCTCTGGGGAATTACAGAAAACTACGGTTATAACGAACTCAAGGGCACCACTTAATTTAGTTCGTTATAACCGCAGATCGTTATAAGCACATTTACAACATATATACAGCAAATAGACGGGACCTGATCTGATCAACGTTAACTGGATATGGAAAATACAATTACCCACAATATAAAGCTCATGATGATGCACATAGCAAATATGCAGCTAGCATTTCCCAAACTATTGTTAATATTTCATACAAAGGTATTGCTTAATTGCACAAACTCCCCAGCGTATTTAAGTTTATTTATTCTGTCGCCATGGCAGTTTCACGCTGACCGCACACCGCAACGGTCCCAATCTTCAATTTCGGTTAAGCATGGGCCTCGTGCCAAACGTGAACGTGTGAGGAAATTGCTATCATTATGTCCTTAGCAATTAACAGAGGCGTAAGGTTCCTGTAACATAACCAAAGCACTGTAGCCTAAAGAGGCTTCTTCAACAAGTTTGGAAAGCTGTCCCTCGGTCGACTATCAAATATCAGATGTACGTACTACTACTTGAGTGTATCCAATAAATGTAGTCCTGTCTAAGGTCGGGTTAAGCTGCGAAAACACGTCATTATTATACTACTCAGTTTGTTATAAGGATACTTCCAGCTCATTCTGCTGTGATACACAGCTAACAACCATTAGTGAAAAGAAGTACTTTTTTTTTTTTTGAAAGTGCATTCCATTGTAATATCGACACATTACGTATGACAACATCTCTAGGGAACAAGCTGTAGATACTAATATGAATACTCTACAAACTGTTAAATAGAATAGTTAGGTCTCAAAATTAGCTCTCATAGGGTTAAACTTTTCAGATTACAGTGTTGAGGAATGTGTATGAATCTCACCTCTGAGATCGTCCAACTTCAATACACCGTCTTGGTTGACATCTAGCTTGTCAAACGCTTCATTGATGACGCTTACACGTGGCTCCGTCATGGGGGTTCTTAACTGGTTCACAAACTCGTGAAAGTCAATTGAACCGTTCCCATCGCGGTCGAATAGTTTGAATAGAAGTTGCAAATCTGACTCGCCCATATATAGTCCGTACCGTTTGACACCGTCTGCGAATTCCTTGAAACATATTTTCTTTGAAAAGTCTGCGTCCATCTTTCGGAAGAAGCTGGAAAGTTGTTTGATTCCCCCACATCCCTTAATACTGAGGCACTGCTCTCGGAGCTTGGATAGCAGAGCCTCACCCCGCGGTTCCATGTTATCCACTGTGAGGGCCTTTGGCGAGAGGGTAGAGGGATTGTTTACACACTTATGGATTTACTCCACGCTCGTTTGCTTCGTCAGGCTCACTGGGAGACGTAGGGCTCCCAGATGCTAGTTTTAAATGATTTTATATGTCGAGCAGCTGGGGTTTCCAACTTCCTGATATGGCAAAGTGAACAGGTTAGTTTTTACCTCACCGTTCTTCCAGTCTCTCAGCACCAACGACAACTTTTTAACAAACGTACGTTTTTGCAGTAGGCTGTCAGATTGAAAGGTCCTGTCCTAGGATGAAGCGCCCTTGTCAGATATAACTTCACGGCATGTAACTTTTCTGAATATGAAGTTTAGTTCCGCCTCTCACTCATTAGAAGGCGTGGGTTTCAACTTTGCATACGCAGCTCCCAGATCGGTGGAGATTGCTGTGTCGTGAGTTGGATGTCTTCTTGATAAGGAGAGATGATTGCCTAATTTCCAATGACGATTGTGCAACCTTGGAACCTGCTTGTCTTAAATGCCACGAACCGATCAATGATAGAAACCATATTGAACAGTCATTAGCCAGTGCCTCCTGATACAGCCTTGCACATACCCCCGTGAGACTCCACGCACAGTCTTGAATCAAAACAATAGTTCACCTGTTTGCCTGGAGGAAGCAGAGCAGAACAAGTATCCAATACACACTGTGGTTTACGTTGATAACACGCAGATTCCACAAACATATACACAAGACCACCACCAATGAATTACACATAAATGTGGCCAGCTGACTGCCCTGTCAATGGCATGACATCATAATTGTGAAAAGCGTGCGCATTCATGGTTGTTGTGGTAACGTGTAAATAAAGTTGGACCGTCTTGTGCTGGAGCGAGCAATCGATTAGGGGAAAGGAGCAATCGCTAGGCGCTTGCCCACAAGTACAGAATAGTACATTCATGTAAATGCAAAAGGCACGCGGCTAAGTCACTAACCCTGGACATTATACGCACCGTGTTTGAGTGGCAGGTGAAATGAGCTATGGGCCACATTGATTGAAATGTCATATTGTTACACATGGTTTATTAGACATGTCCTTCAATAGAGCTTTATGTGTATTCTCAATGTGGCCGTCGGATGGGTATATCAACTGCTAAGGTTGTGACTTCATGTGTTTTCGAGCAGTAGCCAGGTTTTCTGAATGGGAGAATGTACCTACACGGCAATAAAGTTCTGACAATGTGGATTTTATTAAACATTTCATGTTAATCGATACATGCCGTTGACAACAAAAATAGTGTCATGATAATAAAAAACGTTATTTTCATAATAATGTTAACAATGTTAAGACAACTGTTTCGAGAATAATTTTCATGAATGAATATTTTATTGCATACATAAAAGGACGTCAATGAATTGGTTTTCATGGTACATATGAAATGTAAGGTTGGTATCCGTAGGACGGGTCAGCATACCATTCTTCGCAATGATCAGTCTACAAAGTAACAGACCCTAGTCCTAGTCACTGTCTACCGGAGAAACCTAACAGAGAAAGCGCCGCTCACTCACAATCAAGGCAAGGCCGATGTATACAAACGCTTCCCATTGAAAGCTGTGTATGCTGTTTGGTAGTTAAGATTTATGTTCAGATTACCCCGATGAAATACGTGGTGTATGAATCACAAAATTACAGATATTGCTGGCACCATTTCGCATGCGAACATTCAATACAAAGACTCAGTACGAGTAGAAATCAGTTGTACCTGGTACCTAACCTTACGGATGCTAGGAGTATGTTGTGTATTGGTACCTGAGTCAGTTATCTATTTTCAAGTAATAACCTTGGGGTCTTTCTAAAGGTTTACTACTCACGGTCTGAATTGTGTTTAATAAATAATGTTACAGAGTTGGTGCTCTAAATCATTTCGAGATATGTCGGGTTTGTTTGTTCGCTGGATGAGCTTTCAGGCGAATGATAAACAAGAGCAGTATGTCATGTTCCTTTTTACTGAAACATAATGCAACATCGTTCTGTCAATAGACTTTTTTCTAGGGAAGGATTTTCTTAGTGCAGGAAACGATTTGTTTCCTGTTTAGAGTAGATACCCGACACACCTTTTCCAAACAAACATACTCGATATGTAGGCCAGAATCCTTTTCATGGACGTTGGTGATTATACGTTCCAGATGCATGTTTTTTGTACATCAGTGAACGTGCGTGGCATAGATCTAGAGATGATAGTAAGATAGGCATGGAGTATGTTTGAGCCATGTAAGGATCGTTGAGAAGTGTGTATCAAGGTTAATTTATGGGCGAGGTAGAGTGGAGCCTAAACAGGTTGTTCAAAAGCAAGCTATGCTCTGTGTTTTAATGGTGATGAGCTTTGAATTTGTGAGTGGCCTTACATTGCTGTTAAGAATTCATGAAAAATACCAGACGGAGTTTAGTGCTAATACATGAGCAGGGTATATTTCGATTATTGGTGATGAGGTTGTGGTACGGACACAGTTACCTAAACTAACCTGTTCCTTGAACATACGTTACAATCTCTGTTTTAATTGCAATAATGGAAAAAGCGTGTAAAAAAATCCAATTACTAAGAAGCGATGTAGAATTTTTTTTTTTTTTTTTTAAATTATTCTTTATTCCTTTTTCCATCATATTTTACATTTCAATATCATACATAGAGTGTGCATGGATTTATTGTGACATTATTGGTATGTTTGTAGCATGGACAGATTATATATCATAGTTATACAGAGTTCCTAAATAATACACGTAGAGGAGACCAGAAGGCATGGAAACTTGCATAATTACAATTTGAATATGCAATACATTTTGTAGTTTCATAATATCGAAATATTTCTTTTTGAATTGGTTTGGCTTGACTTTTTTTTCTATTAAATGTGTACAGCATAGATTTTGTTACCATAATTACTGCATTGAGTGAATTGTTGTTGTTTATATTTATGACTGCACACAAGAACAAGTACTGTGTGTAAATGTACATATGGGTATATAGATATGTGGGTTCATGGATCGATAATGTGTATATATAGATTTTCGGGTTTTTTTGCGCATGACAAACGGAAAACATGCTTCGTACCTTCAACGCCTTTGGGAACAGAATTCACGTGAAATAAGCTGATACTGTTCGTTCGTGTGTGTGTGTGTGTGTGTGTGTGTGTGTGTGTGGCTGCATGTACTTGTCCGAAACAATAGCTGTTTAACTAGTTCCATCTTTTAACGTCTTTTGGTATGACGTGGCCATTGATCGAACTCCCAAACTTCCGCTCTCCGGGCCATAAGCTGCAGAACATACGCTAAAACAAACAACCATTCAGTCTAGCTCGGTACTTTGGGTTTCACATCTTATGAAGCGACAGAAACTATACAATCAATAAGAAGATTGACAATATGGGTATATATCAACAATTTAGGTATATATTATTAATTGATTACAAGATGATACAAGGAAATATCATTTGATCCCGACTTCAGTAATCGCTATTTTCAAAAGCAAACATTCTTGTGATGATGTCTGCAAATGTGAAAACGCAATGTTTATAGACATTGTAAGAGGAGGAAATTGGATCTTTGTGGCACATTGAAAATAGTTCGGAATATTGGTCTGACAAGTGTCAGGTATGTTCAAATGGCTGACACCTTGCTTTTTCTGTCTTTCTGACACTTGCTAGTTTTGGACTTCTGACGTGGTCAGATCGCACATGTGGTTAAAATGAGTGAAAAAGACATATCTTTAGAACGTCAAATGAAAATCTTTGTTTGAGTATCCGTGACCCAAGATATGTTTTTGCTTATGTTTGCAACTGTTTATGTCCAAGGCTTGCTCATGTTAAAAAAATAGCTAAAAGCGACAAATCATTTCCATATTCATAAGATTTATCTGCTGAGAACAGAGTCCAATGTATGATTCCGACTTTGGGAAAAAATAGGGAATTAATCAATTGCGTCTGAACTGAACTGTATTACACTCATGCCGCTATCAGTGGCATTGGAGGTACAGCATTGATATACCAATGTTATCACTATATACAAATATTCAATATACGTCCACAGATTCACCGAGAAGTGGTTTCAGTAAATAAGGATACAGGATAGAGTTCAGTTACGAGACAAATTGATAAGGTTAAATAGCAGCATTATAATTTTGCAGAATTTGGATAATTTTCTCAGCGTTCCTAACCTTTTACTATTAAAAAGGAAATTAATTTCATACATATTTTGTGTAATGTCAAAATATTTTCTAATTAGTAACGGACATAATTTTTGTCACTGATGCGTCAAATTTGGAAATGTCCTCCGCGTGCTCTTGCCATCAAACTTTCAGAACGCTTCACTGAGGCCTTGAATGTTGTAACCTTGATGAAACAGCTTTTGTGCAAGAGTCGTATGACGCTCATTGAAATCTTGGTGGAAAGAACATGCTCAAAACTTGTGACATGTAGACACAAAAGACTGGAGCTGCTGGAATATTGTTTGACATTAACTGAAAGTTGACTGTGGAAAGTTGAAGACATCCTTCTTGTCATACATGTGTCTTGTGGAGAGTGCTGGATCTTTATGTATATATCTGAGTGTGAAACAGGTGAGGCGGTTTCACTGGTGCTGATTCAGATGGGTAAATCAAGGGAAAGGGTCTTTATTGAAAAATATCAGATCAGCGATATACCTAAAGCTTAAGTTGAACTTCTTGGCCAAATTGCCTTGTTTTGATTTTGCCAGTCCAAGCAGAACTTCCGATTCATATGCATAAAGAACCAGATTAATCAATTGGTGCCCATGGGATTCGTTACGGCATATATTGTCAGCATTCGTCAGAATATAATAAATTAATAAACATGCTTAGCAAAATAGAAGTGGTATTCAAATAAGTGTCACATAGATAAATATGTACATAGACATAGACATTCTTAAGTTTTACAGATAACTAAATTAAATTATACAGCAGTCTGTACATGTCTGAAGTATATCACTTTATATCACTAGTTTATAACTAGTGTATCAGACTATATTCCAACACTACCCAATTCATAAAATAACAAATTTCTGGGCGTATATCTACATCTTTAGTTAAATTTGTATCTAAAAAAAAAACAGTTTTAAGATCATGTCCATTCTCATAGAAGAAGCAATAATAATCGAACACTGAGGGCACATGAAAGATATTGTAATCATCTTCATAATGGTGTCCGCCTTAACAATATCTGAGTCATCTAATAACATAATATCTATGGCCTTTCAAATCACTGCATCCCCGGCATATATCGCCGCCGGCGATAATATGTGCCGATTGGAGACAATAGGTGCCGTGAATGTTGGAATGCCGGCGACAATATACAAACTGTACTATGCCGTAACAGGGATGTCTTCGTCATGTCTAAGTCTCCAAATCCAACATAATTGTTATCAATGAGGAAGTCCAGCATTTCACATTTTGTTTTCTTCGTGAACTTCAGATGACGCTTGCGTTCATTTTTGACGAATTGTCCTTAATCTAAAGAAGCGTCATAAAAACCTCTTAAATCAACTTTTTTTGGCACACAATATTCAACCTATGTATTTTGAGTGAGTGAGTGAGAGTGTGCTTTTACGCCGCTTTTAGCAATATTCCAGCAATATCACGGCGGGGGACACCAGAAATGGGCTTCACACATTGTACCCATGTCGGGAATCGAACCCGGGTCTTCGGCGTGACGAGCGATCGCTTTAACCACTAGGCTACCCGACCGCCCCACCTTTGTATTTGATGTTGTCAGACAATTTAGTTCTCATTCATGTGAACATATCTTAATCATAATATAAACGTTTTGCTCATTTCTTAAATTTTGCAGGTTAGATACTG